TAAATATATTTAATACATAATTCTGCAGCAACAGCAGACAAATTTTATGATTTAGGCTGTTCCTTCTGTTGGTATTCTTGCAAAAGCTTAKGCTGGTTGCTAGGCAACTGGCATTAGAAAAAAAGTGCATTTCTCTTTGTATTGCAGGCAGGAACCTTGGGAGCAGCAGAGTCCTCGGATGGCTCCTTAAATAGCATTGCTGGGGARTGAAAGTTAAAATATTGAACATTCATTGGTTAAAGATCCTGTTACAAAGGTCAGCTATCTAGGGTATATTCAATAGTTTGGTTTCCTTTGGTGAAAGGAAAGATTAGAAGGGAGTTTGCCTGTGTGCTGTAGATAGTACAAAAAAATTGAAATTTCCTAAGATGCCTGACTTGAGCAGCATACCTAGGTGGGCTATGTAATTGCCTTCAGGCTTAACTCTCTTTTCATGACAGAAAGTGTGAAGTGAGGTGTTTGTCACATTAGCAAGTACAAATGTGTGCTTATAGATCTTAGAATGTAAGAGGTGCTTTTAAGAGGGAGTRTTTGAAACTGCTTTATTCCAGTGCTCTAATTTGATAAACACAGGGTAAAAGAAAAGGAAGAGAGTCAGTTCCTGTGTTAAGAGAAGTAAATGTCTTAGGGGAATAATGTTCATGCTGAGAGATTCACAGAAATTTCTAAATTCACTGGGAAGCTAACACTAAAACAACTGATTCCAGAGTTCTCAGTTACTTGCTCATTCTGTCATCTTTCTGTGTCGGTTCAAAATCATTTATATCTAAATGGCTGTGAGCCCCAGAATACAGGGAATATTCATTCTTGCACTGGGATGAAAAATTTCCTCCACTTCCCCATAATCCATTTGAAATAGTGCACTATTTAAAGTCAGACAGGATGGTGCAAGGAGTATAGCATCRCTAGTTGTGGAGATTCTTTTGTGTACTAAACTGCCAAGTAAATTGGCAATCAGACTGTCTACCAAAACCATCATCCCTGAGGAACATTTTTTCTTCTAGCGCCTTCCTTTTCTGGCTGAAAAGTGTTACCAAAGAAGCAAATAACTAGGGAGGTTTTTGGAACCTGTGCAAGAGAAGAGCAACTGTTCATGGTATGTTAAAGTCTATCAGGCATGATTTACTGTCTGGAAATTCTTCTGTGTTTTCCTTATCTTCTAAATTCAACTACTCTCTGACATCCTTCGTTTTTGCTTTGGTATAGTGAGAGAGCAAAGGAGGGGAAAGAATGGAAATGGTGTTGGAGCATACTAGGAAAACCAGCATTTTGTCAGTATCTATGGGTTTACCATAACTGATGGCATGTTCTCTCAAGCCATTTGGAAAAGGAAGAAATAAAATTAAATGCAGGATGTTCTTTGTTCTGTTATGCTCATGTGCAAGCACCTTTGAGGTGTATGCTTCCATGCTTCATTATTGAATCTGTAAATGGGGAATGCARGTTGAGTTCTGTATTTGGATAGTTGTTTCTCTTTATATTTACTCCTTTGTAGGATCCAAAACCGTGGCTGCCATAATTACATTGGGGTAGGTGTCCTCTCCATCCTTCTCCTTCCCCAATAGCTTCCTTGTGATTCTTTGCTGGARATGAGGCCAAATGAGACCTAGTTTTCTCAAGTCCTTGGGAACTGGTTCTAGTGCAGTCATTGTAATCCAGCAATTAGCAAGTTAAATAGAAACAACATAAATCCTGGCTTGAATTATTATGTGAGCCCCTCTGAAGCTCAGAATCATGAGTAGGAAGCATGTACTCACTTGGAATTCAATTTCTGCTCTTTTCAAAACATGCCTCACCAATAAATCAAATTATTATTGCCTTGCAGTGAATCTCAAACAAACAATACACTTAGCTGMTTGGTCCACCCACGCTAAGTGAAATAATATGTACATTTTAATTAACAGATTATTTCAATGTTGCACAAACACTGTTCCATATTAAATATTTTTACTAACCAGTGATATCTGTATTCAATAATGAACGCTTGATATTTTTTTTTCCTGGCTATTAATGTCTGTAATCACTGTCTTGAAGAAACCTTGGTGTTACATGTCATGCCAGTCTCCCCTAAGTAAGGTCACTGTGGGAGTTGGATCTTATTTCTCCTGTCATTCTTTGACTAATGTTTTCATCATTTGTAAAAAATATCTGCTGAGTAAAGTTTTCAAGGTAAATTATATAATACCTCTTGAATTTTTAAAGTGCAGCTGGGGAAAAAGGCTTCATGTCACCCTGTTTCTAAAACCACTTCTACTCCATATGTTTAGTTGCAAATTTTATAAACTTCTTTAAAATGACATRACTTTGTAAATGTTTTAGAAGCGGTGTGGAAACTGTGCCTCTCTCTCTATAAATCCAGAAGCTCCCCAGTGCATGAGTAAAAAAGTGACTCCACACCTGAGGTGTTTGGGTGCAGCCACAAGGTGGGATGTTCTGCTATGCAGCGTTCAGTAGTCACTGTTTTGCAGTAGCCTCCTGAACAGGCTTGGGGCAGGATAGACACAGGAAGGGCTCTGTGGTTTGAGGGCTCTGGAGGCTGTAGTTTGGTTTGTCCTGAGGACCAGCCTTACTCRACAAGCAGACTGCAGACAGGGAGGGAGCAGAGTTCAAGAGGAACTGGCAAGGAATGGTTGTATCTCTTCTTTTCTGGTGTTGACCCTGCAAAGTCCTGCAKCTGTGGCCTGAGTTAGGACAGGCGTGTCACTGCTGGTTGTGCTGACCCACAGGAGCACTGCCACCAGCTCCCAGGTGCCTTCTGCTTTCCCTGCAGTTGCAGTGCTGGTGGAGAGCTGAGAAATGACCACTGGGTTGAGCTTGTGTCTGTTTTTGCAAGCATTGGCTCTGAACAGGGTATGGTCTCTTGCATATTTGGCCTTTGCAGTTCACTTCTGCATGGTGAGCTGACAAGGGGTGGTGGGGTTCAGCTGCAGATACACTGGCTGTTGTGGTGYGTGTTGTCCTGCTGTCACGTTTATTTATTTCTGGAAACACCTGTGAGGCTGGAATTTAGGTAGGAGGGCAAGAAGATGATGTTCCAGCCTAGGTGCCTTACGGGGTTATGCTTGGATTTTCARCACATCCCTTGTGCTGCTGGGAGTACCAGCTGCTTTCAGTGCAGGTTGTATTCTGCGAGAGAGAGGAATAAGATGCCACTAAAACCTGTGACACCACTTGTTCAGAACAAATAGGTGTYGGGGTGGGGGGGGTTTATTTGAGGGATGCTTGTCACCTCCTGACAACAGAGCACAGCAGCGTTTCTTCCTGTACCTCAGGGTTGAATTACCCACTTCTTTATTTCTGACAGGGATGAGGTAATGGTGCAAGCTCTAGGACAAAGTTTATTGATTTCCATCCTTGGTCTGCGACAAGCGTCTTTCTGTCTTGAGGCAAATTGTGCATTTTGAATTTTAAATTATTAAATGTGTCCTCACTTCTGTGGTGTGGTAGGTAAGTGGGAGCAACCTGAAGAATATAGGGTGTTCTGCTGCTCTTCTTCAGACCATAAGACAGGTACCMAAGCTTTTCAAGCAGCAGGGTTTGCTCCCTGCTGCATTGGTTATGATTGGTTATGATTGGTTCAGATGCCAATCTTTGCCTTAACATGGGCATGGCTGGTGTATGTCTGGTTTTCCATTTTCCCAGATTCACTTCCAAGCAAATTCTTAACCAGGCTTTTGAATTCAGTAGCAAGAAGTCGACCTTCAGTTCTGTGGAGGAAGGAGCTGGCAGATGCAGCCCACTCTGATGTGGTGTGAGTGGGGCGAGTGCTCRTGGCCAGTAGGAATGTGAAGCTGTGGTGTTGCTGGAGGGGATTGCAGCAATCACCAGACCCAGCTGCCTGTGCTGGTCAGAATTCTGATAGGGAGAGCCCCTGGGGGTCAGGATGAGATGCCCAGGACCTGTCAGGAATAGCAGATAGTTTGACTTTGCGAGTCTCTATTGATGCTCTTCTGTAATATGGAAAAGCCATGACTGTTTAATRTGCTTCTGAGGAGGAGCACTGTGTCTTGGGACTGTGTGGAAAAGTTTGGGAGGAAACAGGCATGCAAGGAGAAATTCCAAGAGAATAAAACTTCCCCTTGAGCTTAAGCATGAGCTTAAGRGAAAATTTGAGTGGATCAGGGGTCAGTAGTGAGGAAGGTTTAAACATGAGACAAGCTGTGGTTCGGGTGGGATGGGCTGGGAGGTTGTGGTAGGGCGACTCTTGTCACCTCTCTTACCAGYTGACGTGGCCTTTTCATCACAATCTCAGACCAGAGCTTTCCTCATTCCCCTTTAAAGCATCTGAAATGTGGCAGCCATGAATGTGTGTTGTAAAAAGCAATGTTTGCAGAGTACCTTGGAATTTGTGTAAGGGTTAAAAAACATCCTCATTAATGGTAACCTAACACCAGAAAGACAGCGAGAGTTTCATGGACTTTTCTTTCTAGCTCTTACTTGGACCACACACTGAACAGTGTTTGGATCTGCAGTTGCTTGCTTCATCCTTTGTATGGTGGAGTCCCAGTTGCTTTCTTGTATGTCCTGGAACTGGAGAAGATGCAAAGCAACCTACTGAGCAGATTACTTTAGCTGCACAAACCTCTCTGAGTAGAGTTGGCCTCRAATGTGAATGCACTGGAGGATAAGCTCTTTGTGATCTTTCCTGGCTTACTGGAAGWTGGTTATGCAAGGAAAACTGCAGCGCACAATCCTTGTGAATTGGGAGGGCAGAGTTAAAATAACCAGTGCATTGATAGCTAAAGAAAACTGTTTCTTGTGAAGYGCACAGCCAGGGCTTATTTTCTCTGAGCATGGGAAGCATGTGTGTTTGTGTGCACGTGTRTACACGTGTGTTTGCGTGTGGAGGTGGGAATAAAGTTGCTAACTTGTTGCTGACGTGTGCTTCTTTTCTCTCTAGCACTTCTTTGTACATATCACTGAAATATTTTGCTTGGAYTCCCAACTGCATTGTCTAATCAGCTTTTTTTATTTCCTCCTCCTCTCTCCCACTCCTCCAGTCGGCATATGCTGTGTCAGTGCTCAAAGAATGCGCTAAACTGCGACCTACAGATCCCACCGTTCCTCTTCTGGCTGCCAAGGTCTGCATTGGGTCATTGCACTGGGTAAGCAAGCTGATGCAATTCTTATTATGTAATGAATTAGGTGCTGCAGTGACAGYCTGCAGTCTGCAACAGTGTAGTTGCAGTGGGGAGAAAGGGAATCCCTGTTAGAAATCGTACACACGTGTGCCTTTTATAAAAAATGAAAATCCCTGCAAGAAATTTTGCAGTGAGTCATTAGAATGTATTTTGCTGGCACATTAAAGAAAGGAGGAGGGGGGAAAGCCATAACAGCCATTCTGAGGACTGCTGCTTCAACTGAGTCACGTTCAGTTGTCCACTCTTGTGTTCTCTGGAAGACACAAGTGAATAGTTACGAGTGCACTGTTAGACAGTTCAGGTCTGCTGGACATCTCAGTCCTTTGTTCTTGAAGTTGCTGTGTTAGTGTTTTGTGTTCTGGATGTGTTAATGTACACCCCAGAAGCAGAGTGGGAGTGGAAGTTGGTGCCCGTGAAATTCTAATTATCCAAAGGAGCAGAAACATCTGTCACTCTTTTGCTRCTTGGTTTAATTAACCGAATGGCAGCCTGCTGTTCTCACCTGTCCTCACCACGAGGTGTCCCTGCAGTCAGTGAAGGATTACAATTGCTAAAAAGCAGTAAAACGAAGATGCAACAAAACATGAAAGAAAATACCAGAAGAATCTGCGCAGATCCTGGTGAAAAGTTGTAGAAGCCAATTTGCTGTTTTGTCCCCTAACCCCGCCTCCCCATCTTCTACATCCCTTGTRATGAAAGCTGGTGTTCAGCTAAACTTGAGTTGTATTAGTTTGCACCACCACCAGGGAGGATGTCTGATTATGTGTGTTTTTGGATGAACTATACTGTTCAAACTATACTGGTTAAGCTTATATGTGAGTCAGCAAAAACTGGGCAGCATCTTTTTCTAGGAAAAGTCTTCAGGTCTGAGGGCCTACAGGGAATCCTTGCTAATCTGCCCAACCTACTTCTGCTCTCCATTTGGAGCAATTTAACTCTCTCCTACCCACCAGTCTCGTAATTTTGAAGGCTGAAACTCATTCAGTGATACAAAATAACATTTACAGTGAATGTTTTTTAAAATKAAGCTGATAGGGTTTTTTTCTGTTTCTTGGTAATGTTAAAACCTTGTTAAAGCCAGGCGTTATAGCTGTGTTGAATACTTTTATTACTATCTCTGATTAAGTTTTCAAAGCACAGGTAGCATGTAAAAATACCTTATTACTTTGAAAAGACTGAGACTGYAATCCAATCCCATCTTGGGCAATCCAATATCTCCAGTCTGCTCTTACATGGCAGAGCTGATAAAACAACTGGCTAACCATAAAAAGTAGGAAAGGCAAGGGAGGAAGAGAAAAATGAGCTGGGTTTGATTATTTTAAAACAGGAGGGCTTTTTCTTCAATGTACTACTTTTTTTTTTTTACTGTGTGCAGTGCTTTTCAGTGTTATTCAATCAGACCCTGGCTCAGAACCRGGGGGGCATTATGAAATAAAAACATTTCACAAGGGGGTAATTTTACTGCAGTTATGTAGAGCACAGCCTTATGAACTAAAAGCAAATTAAAAATATTCCTCTTCCTTTCAGTCAGTGGCCTGTGCCTTATCCTTATACCAAACTTGACGATGGTATAGAAGAGTTTTAATTAAGGAGAGTCAGAGGTAAATCAGAGCATCTTTTAAAAGAACTGAAATGATAGGTTCCCACATCTCTTAGTCAAAGGGGTGCTTCTGATATTACTGGCAGACTCCTGTGCCTAATAAAGACCTTCCTGCTTAGCAGAGCTGTTTTTCTAAATGTCATCCTTACAGTAATTATTTGCATTTAAATTACATGGCAATCAAATCAGAATAGAATAATTTAAACTGGAAGTGAACAGCCTGATCAATGCCAGTATAAATAGAAAGGAGGCTAGACATGGGACAGGAACAGTCTAATGGACAAATAGTAGCAGTTACAAATACTCAAATACATCTTCCTTTTCAGAACATATAAATTATGCTTAATTTTTCAGTTAGGAAATATATCTGCYTACTTGATTGCTGGCTAGGCAGGAAAAGGGTGAAATCAGTTCACCATTTATCCAAATGAAACAGCTAAATTATGTCCTGCATCTGTCTACTGTGTGGTGCAGTACTGTAGCCAGTTTGTTTATAATCCATGGGCAAGCAGTGCTTTAGTCTTCTTTCAGTTACTAGCATTTAAAAAAAAACCCCAAACCCACAACATTTATGCAGCTGGATAATTACAGAATGAGAAGCACAGAACAGTTTCTTTTATGATTAATCTACTGATTGCTTAACTAATTTTGGTGGCTTTGTACATGGGTCTCAGCACACTTTAAGAACAGGGAAAACAGAAAATTAATTGAAACCTAATATAGTGATTTACAACATTGAGGATGCTCAGATCACCTCTATGAAATAATCTCTCAGTGCAGAACAAATCAAAGTGAAAACATGAATGCATTCATACAATGCCATGCAAATCAATATATAACAGAGCCTGATGCAGAAAAGAACTGAGCTTCYGTCAGCTTCTGTTGTGGCAGTATGACCAGATTATTAGCTGATGTAAGTTGGCACAGCTCCACTGGCATATTAGTGGTACCATGCTGGCTTACATCAGGAGATGATCTCCCCCATCAAACACTTACTCTTAGGATTGGCCCTGCAGTAGACAACCGAGTGGTGTAGGCAATGTTTTGACTACCTTTCTCAGAATTATGGGTTTTCAGAAATTTAAAAAAAAACCCAAACAGTGCAAACAATAAACCAATACTTCACTAGTTCTAAAAGTTAAGTCAGCAGTCTTGGAGGACCAGAAAAACTTAAAAACTAGTACACATATGTAAACCACATTTGTATGGTCAGGATGCAATCAGACCTGTACAGCAAAGTTGGAACTTTTAAATTGTACCTAGGTCATTATATGTGTGTTTTGAGTGTTTTTAAATAGGCTCGGAATTACTTTTGAGGCAACATGCTGCTAAACCTTCCAGCTTGCTGAGTTTTCAGCACAATGGTTTGCTGAACTTGCACATGGATGATTCTGTCAAGGGAACACAAAGCCCATTTGTGTTTAGCCAGCTGTCTTTTAGCTTTCTAAAATGCACTATGAAGTCTTTGACTATTGTAGGTCAGAGTATTGTTTTAAATTTTCATAGGAAAGTTGAAGTAGCTTGCACTGGAACATGTCCATACTGAGGTTGCCTTGCCTTGCTCCACTATAAATTCAGAGTTCTGCTCACTAAAAGGCTTGCTGCAATTCCCTCTTTCACTCAGCCTTCCCTGGCATGGCCTCAGCTGAATGCTCACTTGCCTATTTTGGCAGTGACTTTGAGTTCAGTATAAGTTGGGGTTTTTTTTAATATTTTAATAGTACAGTATTGTTAATTTCACTCCTAATCTAAGTTCTCTAGGATCMTGTTATGGCAGGTATTGTGTAAATACTAAAAACTGAACTTCTGCTTACAGTCAAGCATTAAATACTGAATTTTTCCAATTTAGGAGCCTTGTTTGAGGCATTTAGGGTTACTCTGAAGCTTTCTTTTGTCTTTTACTCTGTTATTTTCAATGGAGGCATGTTGAAAACATTGTAAATACACAGAGCAAAATAGACTATTATTCCTAGGATAGTCTTGAATCTTCTAGAACTCTGTCCCGACAGAAGGCAGGAAGACATGAGGCATATTCTTAAAATTTTCATTGCCGCACAGTTGATATAATAGCAATAGTGGTGGTGTGCTAAACTTGTGTAGCATCAAATGATGCCAGTATTATCAGCTAATGAGAGCCTTTCAAAGGACTTTTTCCCATGGCAAAAGCTGCAGCACAGCATGGTGCTGTACCTCAGACATTTCCCTTACTTGTTTCAACTTGTATGCACAGCAAAGTGCTCTGCTTCAGCACTTTGCTGGGAAGACAGAGATCATGCCATCAGTCAGGGAAAGGGTGCAGTGGTGTTGGGCCAGGGCAGACTGTGCTTGGAGTCATAAAAAGWGAGTAAGACATGCCATGAGGTCAGGACATCACGGTGTGTGTCGGGGGGTTGGCAGGGTGTAGACTTAGAGCTGCGTATTTCTGAGCTAACAGCTTATCATTCATTACTTTCACACACCACTTAATCAGAGAGTGCTTCTCTCCCCTTCTGTCGTTGACCTTGCCACAATAGATAATAAATGCTGTGCATGTGCTTGGACCCAGTCACTTAGGAGCCCAGGATTTGCCTGGAAATGCTTAGGTCCTAGTGCAGTATGAATAATATTAAAAGATCAAATCTAGTCCTGTTACTGGAGTTATTCTGCCTGGTGATGGACATCCGAGAGGATCGGCATCAGCAGGGTGAGAGGCTGCTGAGAAAGCAGGGAAGGTCCAGAAGCTACTAGGTATTTCTTTTGTCTTCTAAAAGACATTCTTGATTACATCACCACTACTGTTACTGTGACAATCCTGTGGGTTTTAGACATTAAAAATGACCAAGAATTTTGTCTTCTGTACATTGCATTTGTGAACAAACCACTCTAGCTTCAGTAGAGGAAAGGCCTGAATATTCGTAAGTGCTGGGGACTGAGTTTACACAGAGTAAATTCGTGGGCTTAACAATGGTGACACAAAGAGCAAATGCTGACTAGACCAGCAATAGAAAGTGTAGGATTTTTTCTTCCTGACATACACAACATGATTAGTTTTGTCTGCTGTAAACAGCTGTGGGACAAAACCTTTTCATTAGACCATGCCATGTAGACCACTTTCTTCCTACACATTTTTCCTCTTGGCATCCTCATTTCATAATGTTTATATTCTTTTCTTTGAATTAGTCTRTATAGCTACAACCTAGTGTAATGAAAATGGTAAGAAGAGATCAATTCAACTTGTGTAATTTTATGTAGATACCTGTTCTGTAAGATTTTGGTCTCTTAAGTGCTTGGGTATTGTTCACTGTCAGTGGTGTCCAAACTTACCTGCTTCATTAATGTTGTCTGCTGTCCTAAGCCCAGAGATATTTGGTGTATTTCCCGCTTCTTCCTTTGTGTGTTCCTCTTTTTTGGCACAATAAAGTGCTGCTTTCCTGGTGCTTACATGTACATCATTGATTTGTTTTGTCCTTAGTTACTCTTAGTGTGTGCTGGTGAGAAGTGCTATTCCTACTTAGTCCTGGAAGCTGTTGATTCAGTGGGGTTGAGCTTTTCTAAAAACAATCTGAGTGGCAGTTGGACACCAGCTGGGTGGCATTAAGCCAGGGGACAGCACCTGCTGTTCTCCACTCCCTTGTCAGTATGCCTCCRGGCTTGGCTGGAGCACACACCAAAACCTGTGGCCAAGTAACAGTGGTGGCTGGAACAGCCACTCTCTGTACCAGGGGAAACATCCCTCAGGGTACCACAGCTACCAACTGTTCTTTTTCTATCAAATAAGAAGGAGGAAGTGGAAGGGGGAAAAAAAATCCAACCGACCCCTACGTATTACCATCTCATTGGTATCAGTTCACAGTTTGGCAGCCTGCCTCTGTCCAGGTGCSAGGTGTTTGCTTTCTGGTATGATGGAGGGGTTGCTTAACTAGTGCTTCCAGGTGCCTCCTGACACTTTGTATAGCTCGAGTGCAAAATGCAAAAAGTTCTTCTCTGGTTGTTTTTCCCCCATGCCTTCTTTGTGAACTTTCTTCCATGCAGGTCATGGAGGCAGTGACCTACTCCCTGCAACCTGGGATGCTGCTCTTTCCACCAGCTTCTCAGTGCAAAGTATACAGAAAAACATAAAAATGAATAGTAAGGGCCAAATCAGAGGTAATATGCCTTTGAGAATTTGTTTCCCTCCTCCTTTCTCAACTTCACAATACAGAGTGCAGACATCCCATATCCTTAAGGACGCTCACAGACACAGCTTTACTGGCAGATCACAGCTCAGGCTCACAACTGGTCTCTCACTCAGGTGTATGGAGCASGAGTTTTTATCCTGCAGTCTAGTAGTCCTTGCAGTTTAGTTGGTTACCCCAGGTATGTCCCAAGGGGATTATTCCTGTTTCAGGTAGTACTTTCCAGGTTCACAGTTGACTAGGCCATCCAYAAGACTGATGCACTGGAGAGTTGAAACCTCACAGTGGATGATATGAGTGAAAGGTTTGGCTTCACGCTTGCCCGGAATGATTGAAGAGTAGGAGAATAGGAGAAGAGGGGGCAGAYGGCTGCCACAGCAGGGCTGGCAGGGGAAGTGTCTGAGTGCTTTAAGAAGGAAAAGTAAATGTTCTTATAAACAGAAGCAGCTGTGCTGGAGTTTTCAAGGCCACTTATTATCAAAACAGATTTCAGCTGACCCAAGTTTGCATTCATAAGAATGTTTGTGGCTGGTCAAAGTGCCATTAACATTTAGTACAAATAAATGTTTACAAGAATGTGCTGGAAGTGCTGTTTCAGCCACCCTGAAAATTTGTGGTTTTTATTATCATTACATTATTCTGATACTGACAGGTAGCCCTGAATAACTGTCAGGSAAGAAGGTTGACTGGTGCACTGCTGATTTATGCAGTGTAGGCCATCAGTCAGACTGGAAATACCATCAGGTGACCATTCAGAGAAACAATGGAGCAAAATCTCTCCAATTTTGCATGTCTTCCTTTCAGCTCCAAACCTTTCATTTAATCATTTTTTCCATACACTCTACCCACCCCTACTCTTGTTCACTAGTCATTAGAATTCCTTGTATAACTTTTCTTCATCTAATGGAGGCTTCTTGGATGAAAGTGTGTGTGGGGAGAAGAGGAGAAACAATGAAGAAAGAGAGTGGGAATATAGCTGTTTATGGTGGCAAAGAGGTGTATTTTGAATTTTCAAGCTGCAGAGGTTTCATGTCTTACATAAAAGTTGCTGAGATGAAGACTTCTGTTGTTGTTTTATTGGAGGGTTTTTTGTTGTTGTTCATTTGTGGGTTTTGGTTTTTGGGGTTTTATCTTCTGTAAGGCAAGTCATAAGACTCTTTCTTCTTACATTTTCCTTGGCTCTGGTCCAGAACACATTTCAGTATGTGGCAGGGAAGTTTGTAGGGCTATTGACAGGATTAAGAAATCTGCTAGAACAAATCTTAGTCTTCCTTCTGTGGTCAAAGTTTAAGGGTCTCATCTGAACTCTGGTAGGGAGGACTATTTCTAGTGGTTTTGTTAGAGTTTGGATTATACCCTCAGAGACAGACCTTGCAGTTTAGTCAGGAAGTCCAAGTATTCCGCGAGAGGGTATTCCTTTTTCACCTAGTGGTTTTCAAATCACCATTGACCAGGCRATGAGCAAGACTGTAATGCTTTTGTAGTGCTTTCAGGAAAGAGTTTTCTGAGCTGTGTTGTTCTTTGGGCTGACTGAGCTGAGGTTTCAGAAATTGGGGAACTATTGTTCTACTTCTAATTTGAATTTTAGGGCTTCAGGAGTTGGAMCAGTGAGGCAGAGATCCAAGCAGTGGAGATTTGCTTCTTCAGCTGCACTTCTCAGTCTTACGTTAACAGTGATTTTTTTCTTATGTTTGATATAATCTGCTAACTCCCAGATGGTTTGTTTGTGAAGCCATTATTTAGTGTTGTCACCTGAATGTTTTCAAGTGGTCCAGTGGGTAGGAGGCCCATTGACAGGATGCTACATCAAGTCAAGTAGATTATCTTCATAGGTAGCATATTAACTGATCGCTGCAGAAGGGAAATTTTTTGTCTGCTGATGCATTTTAATTCCAGATCATTATGGGTGAGTGATTTTAGATCTTAAGAACCCATGAGGTGCTGAAGTATGAAAAAGCTGAGTATTAAGAGGGCACAAGTCCACAGTACTTGTGTCTCAACCAGCTGGATTTCAAACAAAAAAAAAAAACCTTCTCAAAATTAAACAACACCATCCTATAAAGTCAGTTGTCATGCARTGAAAGTTTCCAAAAGGAGGATTTGTCAGTGTAATGGTGTCTGCTTCTTGATTAGGAATGACTCTGATTATGRTTGACAGGATCTGCATACTGTCTTGTGCAGACAGGAGAACTTTCTGTAGGCTCTGTCATTAAAGCCTTACTTATGCGTTTTGCCAATGTCTCTCCAGCCTACACCTATCAAGGTGTATACAGCTTACAGGTCATTTCTCTAGAAATGAGAAACACTGTTCAGTAATAAAATACTTAACTTTTTTTAAAACTAGCATTAATTCAGGTTTTACAGATGCTGATAGATCTGYGTGGAAAGGAAGGTTGTGGGGAGCAGTCTGTGCTGTAGCGGAAGAGACCGGCTTACGTATTTAATCATTTTGCAGGCTGATCCTGCAAGATTGTGACTGCTCTCTCCTCTGATTACTATCATATAAAATGCATTTTCAAGGAAACTGCATCTTTGCAAAAGATGCAGGAAGAGGCTAGTGCAGCAGGGGCTACCAAGGCAGTGTGGTTGTTCAGACCAAAACTGGTGTCCTGAAATTTCTGTGTCCTTTCAGCAGAACTGCAAGCAGCAGCTGAGAGCTTTCAGTGAAATTAGYGCTTTCTGGTTTTTCTCTTGTAATGTATTAAAAAAAAAGTAAAATTTGATAAGCAAAACTGAATGGTCTTCCTTTGAAGGAAGAAACTTATTAGACCTTTCCATGTACTGCTAGGATGGCATGTAAGTAGTCCAGCTGATTCAGCATTTGTATTTAAGGTTRCATGATTGAGGTGTGCCTGAAGGGAACTATAAAATAAGATAGTGCCCTTGATTAATCTTACACATCTGGAAAGAGTTTGGGCTGCAAAACCCAAACTTCTCTCCAAACTGCCTATGCACCCAAGGTGTGCTAATCTGACCTTCTGCATCCTCCTTTCCCTGAGATCACTGAAAGCCCTTGTGGGAATTGCTCTCAGATCACTTGCAGGTAAGCTTAATGGTAAATTTTATTGAAGCAAGTATGGAGGAAACRCCTGTAAATCTAAACCTACCTCTTTTGCAGCTGGAAGAAGGAGAACACTTTGCTAAAATGGTGATAGACCTCGGTGATAATGCTGGAGAGTCCTTAGCCAAGGGTTACTTGGCATTGGGCCTGACATACAGCCTTCAAGCTACTGATGGTGAGTTATCCTGTTTGTCATGTATGTTGTATGGAGAGCATTTGTTCAAAGTCTTCAGTGCAAGCAATGGAAGTTTATTAGAAAATCTGTTTTCCAGTGCTGACTAGACATTAAAAWCAATCTGATTGTAAGATAAATGGAGACTGTTAACTTGCTCAAAGAACTGTCTTCTGTGGTAGTAAAAGGGAAATTTTTGGGTAAAGGAAGAAATGTGGGTCATTACTTAGGGAGTGATAATCTGAGTGTAGCTGACAATGCTTGGTGTGCTTTACTTGAATATTTGTAATTCATTTCTTTCACTTATTTACACAACAAAAAGTCAAACTTTCCATCTGTTTTTATACTTTTTTACCCACTCATAAATCAAAGAAATACAATCCAAGARCTGGAGTCAGAAATGCCTCACTTCAGTTCCTGGCGTGATACTGATTCCCCACTGAGATTCAACCTCTCTGTGATGTCGTTTCTTTTTCTACTTAGAAGTAAACAAGATAAAAATATCTACCTCACTGGTACGTGTGGATGTTGACTAGAAACAGACCACTRAATGTAAGAAGTATTTTATTTTAATGCTGCTTACTTGGATCTCGAAAGAGTGGACAAGGGGCTCCTGCAGATTTGGTGCTTAGTAGTCAGAAGGGCTTAAAGTATTTGGGAGAGTTTTAGCTCTGACCTTCATCAAGCTCACAGGTGGAAACAGTCTTTGTTTTTTATATGACTTCTAACATAGGTAGAAGGCCTTCTAACACARTTTCCATGAATAATGGCTGAGCTGGTGAGTTTCCTAATCATTTTGGCAGTCCTGCCCTCATGCAAGCAATGTCTTTTCTGCTGGATAGGTTCCACAGAAACAAATCAACTTTTTCTAGCAAAGACGTCTGAATCAAAGCTAAAATTACTGTATTATGTTATCATGGAATATGCTGGCCTTGCAAGTTACACCAGAATTCTGCAAGGCATGTGCATGAGAAAGTGTTTGTGTTCTTCAGTAGTGCAAGTTGGTGTAGTTTTTCAGCYAGCCATATCTGATCAGCTGTTCTGAGAACTGCTTTTCATCCTAGAGGCTAACAGGCACTGCTGCTCTCTCCAGTTCCCCATTTCTCTGCCTCAAAATAGTTCTCCCTAGAAAGCTCATGTCAAAAAATATGTCTCTTTTAGCCTGAACTTTCTCTTATATATATATTTTAAGTCCATTAGGGAGAGTTCTGCTTAACAGCCTAGTTTTTTAGGGCRTTTTGCGTAGTTGTTGTTTAAATTGTTCCTAAAACTATATGAGATCCCAAAGACTATTTTCAGAGATAGGTTTTCTATGTTAGCYCCTTACAATCTCTTTGTTAACTTCAGTATGAAAAGAAGGTGGTTTCTAAAGAATGCAGTTGTAGAGGCATGTGCTGTACTCTGGCTCTAAAAATATTTGGTGCAGCAAATTGTGAGTTGGAAACTTTTTCTGGAAATCTTTTGGGTTTTAAAGAGATTAGTTCATATTATGTCCTTTTTAATGTAAAATAAACAGTATTCACAGCAACTGCCTTGGATTTTTTCCAGATTMGCCTCTGATTTATGTTTTGAAATAGTGGAATATATATGCCTTTTCATCATCTCTCTAGCCTTTAGGACAATAGGACCAGTCACTCAGTTGTTTGAGGGAAGTAGGAAGAGTATATTTCCATCTTTCAGATTGTATTCTAATAAAATAGATTAAATCTTTCAAAAGCATACATATGATGGTCATGAATATGGAACTGTGTTTTAGTAGAAAATGTCAAATTTGCACTAGCAAGACATGTTTCATTACCATTGTTAAAAAATAGTATATGACGGTGAGAAAGCAATGCTGAAAGACAGCAGCTCCCTGATGTAATCCTGCCTCATATTTTCAGTCATGTTTATCATTGTATTTATATCAGTTCTTAGTGACATATGCAGACAAGTCAAACATCTGTGTGTATGTATATGTGATTCTTATAACTTTCCAGTTGAGATGACTTCCAGTGAATCAGTATTTTCAATGGTAGCTAAGTATTTCAGAGACRTTTTACCAATTGCCTTCTAAAACTTACAGCCTTCCATCCAAGTTGGTCTTTTTTTCCAGTATAACATTTTAGTAATTATTTCTCCTGTGAGACAAAGGCACTGAGGAGTTGTATTAAAGYCTTTTCTTTGTGACTTGCAAAAAGCTTCTGGAGGAAGTAAGACTTCCTGAGAGCTGGATAGCTTCCTTATTCTTAATGTCTAATTACATGTTTCTTGAAATAAGTCTCATGGAAGTAGCAGAAAGATGTGTCCTCAGAGGAAGTCATTGCCTCTTACACCTCAGTTTTAGAAGCCCAAACCTCCTGTTCATACTTAATGTCCATTTTCTGCAGATCTTTTCACAATGGGTCAATGTCAACAGCAAACTGTTCCTCTTCCTCCCATAGTTCCAGCTTTGACATAAGCTGTATTGTCAACTTTTCCTCCCTTAGGTCTGTCAAAGAATTCCCTGAAGACAGGGAATGGTGCAATGAATTTAACAGAGGCTGAAGAGGAAAGAGTAGGTTGAGAATGTATTTTGAAATACAAGTGCTCTTATCTCACATTGCCACCTCACAGGTTGTGAAATTTGTAGATTTAATGGTCCCTCACTCCTTTTTTTGTAGATGAATGTGCTGTGTCTCTGTTTTCATKTAGTATTTTGGTAGAAGGCCATGGATCAGGGACTGGATTGCAAATTCACTCTATCAGTCTTTGTGGATTTTGCAAACAGTCAGTGTGCTGACAGTACTGCTTAATGTTAGGTTCCAACCCACCCACCCCCCCCATTTCTTCACTAATAAGTGAATAAACTATTTGTGAACAAACTCATGAGCTTTGCTTTTGGAAATAACAGTGCATGCAATCTTTAATTATAATTCTGGGTGCTAAAACTGTACATCATGCCATATTAGATGTCTTAACACAAGGGAATAGGTTTTGAAACCCACTCATACTTGCAAAAGGGTGCATGCATGTCAATGTTTTAATTTGGATGAGAAATGTATTTTTGAAGTCCATCTATCTGTCATCTCTGCTTCTTAAGTTGTGATTCACATAAAGGACCAGTTTTGCACATTACTGAATTCTTTCCCACAAATGAATGTGTTACGTAAATAGACCTGATTGTGCTTCAGCTGCTAATGGGTGCTCAACCCATTGGGCAAGGTTAGAACTAGATTTCTGTCCCCACATTTTTAGTGTTGATGCTGATSCTCAGCATTGTGTTTCATTCCATGCACTCACACCTACTGTGCTCTACCTGCTTTTACTTAGACAGAACTTGTCCTCCTTTGTTTTCAAATGTGACTGCAGAGCTTTGTATTTGGATACCAACGTATTGCCAAAGAACCTGTTGGATTTTARTAAGGCTGAAGTTCCTTTAAAAACCCAGAATGCTTTAGAAGATACATCTTGGGCTGCTCAGGTGGCATTTGCAAAAGTACTGTGTCTTATGGGAGTATCTGCTGAAGTTTGAGAAACTTAAACTCCCCTGTGCCATTCTCCCCTTGGTCAGATTGCTTTTGCACCTTATTTTAATCTAAGTAAATGGCCTTATTGTGTTTTAGTTGAACTGCAGTAGCCATACTTGCAGAAAGTAAAATTGGGTGAGGACTGAAGAATTCTTTAGTGCTATCAACCTTGGAGAATGGAGCACAAATTTTAAAAGTTTAATCAGACCCATCTGATTCTGTTTCCTTAGTGCAAGCTTTTCTTTGTCTGAAGTGAGAGCTCTTCATTGATACAAGWGGGTTACAGATTTCTTTGAATAATTCAGGGGTAGGGCATCTGCAACATCTCTGGGCAACCTGTTCTAGTCTTCCCACCCTCCTAGTAAAGAATTTCTTCCTGTGTATAATCTAAATCTTTCCTCTTSTAGTTTAAAACCATTACCCCTTGTCTTATCACTRTAGGTCCTGGTAAAAAAATAACCATCTCACTGCCTTTCTTATAAACCCCCTTCAAGTATTAAAAGGCTGCAGTAARGCCTCCCTTGATCGTTCTCTTCTCCAGGCTCAAAAACCCCAACTCTCTCATTTTTTCTGTAAAGGAGAGGTGTTCCTGCCCTCTAACCATTTTCATGGCCTTTTTTTGGACTTGTTCCAATGAAACCTTGTCTTATGTTGTGGATACCAGAGCTGGACACAGCATTCCAGGTGGGAATCTCATGATGGCAGARCAGATCACCTCCCTTAACTTGATGGCCAAGCTTCTTTTTATGCATCTCTCTCCAATCACTTTTGACTGTTGGTTTTYCCCCTAATTTATCTCCTTTAGCTGTAAAGGTCCTGTAAATGGCATAGTTAACTTGCAGCATCAATGCTCAGTATTGTCAAACACAAGTTTTAATGTGTTCATCCACATCAGACACAAATCTAGAGATGGACAACCAGATTTCCAACTTTGTGGTAGCTGAAAATGTAATCCATATTGTGGGAGGTGGGAGTCACATGCTGTTTCCCGGTAGTGCAGAGGCAAAGCTGACTTGTTGTAGAGTAATCACTTCATTTTCATAACATATTTTGTGTTTTTTCTGACTACAAGCTGAACATTAACTCAAGTGTCTTAACAGGTGGAAGCTAGAAGTTCTAGCTTTTCCATTTCGTGTTTAATTTGAGGGACAAGTASTCACATTTCTTTCAGTCTTTCTTACTGTGTGACATCTTAAATAAAGAATCCTGTCGTTTCCATGAGAAACAGAATGTCACATTTTTTTTTTCCGTATGGATGTTTATAGGTATGATCAAATCCTTTCCAGTGTCACCTCARGCATTTTTGTTTACATCAGTATTGTTTCTTTAATTTTCTTCTAAATTGTCTTCCTTTGTTACCTTCTTGCAGTATTTTGCAGKAGTCTGTTTTATAGTTATTGAGAGTGGAGTATTTTTAATAAATGCTGCATTTTACGTAAAAGTCCATATCTTTAAATTTATTCTTTAAAATACAATTTTTTGGATCAGTTTTTAAAACTTAGAGTAGGTTTTGTGGCCTAAGCAGGTTTTGATCTTTATGATTTACGAAATCCTGGAGATCGCTGTTCCTTCCAAATGAACCACTGTTTTGATGAACTGTTGGAAGCTGTAGGAATGAAAAAGATCTGATCGCTGTAACTACTGCAGCAATAATTTACTTTCAAAATTTCACTTGCTAATGTTGCAGAATCCAAAGAAACCGGTTAGCTTTGCAGGTCTTGTAGAAGAACACATCTCTTTCCTCTTAATCACTTTTAAGAATATCTGAGTTTGACTGACTTTGTTGCGTTATTATATACTTCTTAGTAACTTTCTATTCTGGAGCATRCAGTGACTTTCTGTRTCAAATCAGATATATTCATGGGTGRTGTTTGCTGGTGGATTGACTGCTCATCACTTTCTATGCAGTTGATCACTAGCTCTCAGTTTCTGGATAAGCAGAACAAGAAACCACTGCTGTGCAAAATCTGAAAACTTAAGAACCAGAGCAAGACAGCCAATGCATTTCTAAAAACCATCACTAGAATAACCATCACTAGAATAACCATCACCATCACGATTTTGGATCTGAGAAAGCTGTGTTTCTCTAAGCTCTCCCTCTGTTCCTGTTGATCTTGGTGATAATATCTTACGATACTCGGGTATAATAAGAGCTTGATTCATCTCTCCCTTTTCTCGTTTTAGATAGGAATTTTTACATTGATAAGTGAGCTTACTGGGCAGGATCYGTTGGTCAAACAATAAGAAGCATGGAAGGAGGTCATTAGTGGCTAAACCACATCTGAAGTCGCCTAAAAGCCTGTTGTGGTTTCAAAGATAGTGGTGTTTGTCACAGAGCTGCAAGTTCAGCTGCTGGTGTTCACTGTTCAACCCACAGCATCCTCCTACATGAAGAAGGTGGTGGGGGCGGTCTGTATCTGAGTCAGAGTGTGCTGCAGGTTACTGCTTTTAGCATTGGCACCAGCCTGGCTGAGGGCCTGTTGCCTTCTTGGTATCTAAGCCCCTTCTCCCAGTCTCCTTCAGCGGCTTACATAAATTAAAAAACACTTCTGTATTTCAGTTATAGGAGTTAAAATAATCTTTAATAACAATGAATTTGAGAATTCATGTTAAAATTAGCACATGCACACACACAGATTTCCACCGTGTTTAGGCTCCCAGTTTGAAATAATCCATACATTTATTTATTTAATCGGAAACATTGAATTAAATCCTTAAATGGCATTGTATCTTGTCCTACAGCTACTCTGAAAGACACTCAGGATGAATTAAACAAGAAAGCACTTCAGACTTTGGAGAGGTGAGTAGGAATCTTGCAGATGCTTGTATTGTGGGTTTTTTGCATGAATTCAGGAAAATTGGGTGTTTTTAATGTTTCTTTTTCCTCTGTGTAAGGCTTCCTTGCCTGRAAGTTTGAAAACAGTTCATTAGATTTCAGCAGTAGTCTGTCATAACCATTTCTGTGATGGCTAAATKCAGTGATTATTTGATTGAGTATCCAAGGTAAGAGTACTTTCTGCCACCCTACAGAAATAACCTTAGCCCCAAATTAGCTGCAGTGAGATCTACAGTGCTGGGAGATGCAGCTTCCTCACATTATGCCAGCTGGCAAACATGGAAAGCTAATTTTGTCTTGATTCTTGTGTGAAGCAGGCTTAAAATCCTATTTCCCTCATGGTGGGAAAGTACCTTCACCATCAGGGTGTAGGCAGCTATGGGGTGACCTGGTACCAGTGCGGCTCCTGGGAAGGGTGTAATTGCTGTCCTAATGAATGGTTACTCGATGCTGTTGGAAGAGGAGGTYACAGAGCTAACGGTGTAAAGCAGGCACCACTCACCTCTCCTTCATCGCTGTGTTTTGTGGAGGAAACTGCTACTGTGGCTCCACCCTGGAAGCAACTCTGAATTAAACGCTTGTGCAACTACTCTTACCTCAAGTCCAACTGCTTGAGTTGAAACCTTTTTTGTCCATTCTGTACGGTAGAATGGTGAGGTGTGAGCTTCCAGACCATGTTATGACTAAGATACACCACCCAAAATACACTGGGGGGTGTTCAGGCAGTTATTTACATTTGTACAATTACTTTCACAATCTACAACCCACTAAGTACAGATGCCTACAGACTACAAATAGCAGCTGAATGGAAGCTTACATGGCCCGAGTCTTGGGCTGAAGTATCTAGTTTTGGGTTTGTTGTGATCATAAATACATTGCAAAAGTGAAGAAAATTTGAGATCTGGTATCTCGAAGTACAGGTTTAGCAAGTTGAATGGTGTTGATGGATCTTAGCTGTTTTGCTGATGCTAAACAAGAAGTAGACCAATATGTTTGTTTTACACTGGTTTTGTAGTGATTGCAAGAGCTGAAACAGCAGATGTATTTCTGGGTATTTCCCCTATGGAGATCTGAGAGAGAAAATTTTTAAAAGCCATTTATTTATTTACTGTTTGGATCAGAAGTGTACTTTTAAGTCACAGTAGTTTCTGGACTCCAGTGTAATACTTTAACTGCTGACCAATTTTATCTAATTGTGGTGCTGCACCACTTTTAAACTTCTTTATTTTTTTATCCTTTGACCTTTTGCATTGTTTTTATGGTATCTTAACTCTAGCTAGGAGGCAGACGAGCTTTTAGTCAAACATTAGTTACTCAAACCTCAGCCAACAGGAATGTGACAGTGAGCTGATTACTAGTGTTTTTCTAAATGCCTGTTTGGTTTCTTTCCTTTTTTTACCTTTCTTGTTTTTCATCTCTATTTGAAGTGCGTGTATGATCTCTCAGGCCATGGTTTGCCTGTAGTCATCTTTCTAAGGGGCTTTTTCAGCTGGCAGATTGCATCAAATGTTTTTCTAATTCCCTCTGAGAAAACTGAGTGGTAGAGTAACAATCCTTTGTTTCTTTMCAAAAGCACCATTAATCTCATCTGTTATTCTCTTGTGAACTTTCCCCTGTTATTTATTGCTGGAAAGGCTACTGAAGGTTTCGTAAGAGATGATTTCCAAAGAGGTGTCTCACGCTGTCTAACACCTTAGGGCAAAGATGGGTTCTATCTTGTGGAGTTTTGTTGTTCATTGTAGTTTCTTGGGGGATTGGAGTTTTTTTTTTTTTTTCATTTTGTTGAGGGTTGTGGCTCTTTAAGTTTGGGGTTTTTTGGTGCTTTTGAAGTGGAAGGAGAAATTAGTGACTTGCCTGTACTAATGGCACCTTGATGTCTTTGGCATGGCTTCAGAGCATTTGAGTGCCACTTTGACTTACAGAGTTACAGGACACATTCAGTCCATACTAAATTAATTTGTTCTAGAGCCATTAGTTGTAAAAATCAGCTTCAACATCTTCTTGCTCACAGGCCAAGATGACATTTGAAAAGTGGCTGCCATTAAAATGGTGTGTGGTTTGTAATTCTTTTGTTATTTGTTTTCTATTAGCAAATCAATAGTTTTGGCATGGGTTTTAACCACCAGTGTTGTCAGCCTGTCATTTCTCCCTCATAAGGACATTAATTGTGCTCACTTTGGGCTCAGGAATGCAGGTGCAAGTTTCCCTGGTGTCTTGGAACGAAGCCCAGAGAGAGGTCAGGAATGTTAATTGGCTGYGAGGGACCTTCCTCCTCACCATTTCTCCCGTGTGAAATGACCTCCCTGTGCTGCAGAGCTATGAGTGAGCTCTGTGAGTCAGAAGGGGATAACCCGCTGGTTCCTGGACTGGGCTGCCAGGTGGCATGAGCTTGTGCCCCACCCTTCCTCCTAGGTTATGTTCTCCAAGATACTGTCCTGTCATTCCTCAGTTAATGGCTTCTCCACAGGCCACAAATTCAGACTGYAGTTTTGTGCTTAGCGTAGTCTGAGGGGGGACAGTTCTGCCCAGGCTGTCATCCCTGTTCTCTTCCTTGCACAAGACATTGCCTCCATATCTGGTTCTGAAGGTGCTGCAGTGTTCACTAGCTGAGCCTTCATTCACTGCAGTGCCTGCTGTGAACTGGAAGGTAATACCTCAAGAGTCCAAGCTTTAAAAGTAAGGACCTTGGTTTTGGTCCAGGCACAGTTCGTGTCATCAAATCATTCCTCCCTCAGTGTCTTCCCTTTCCAAATTAGGAGTCTGCCGTCAAAAATTAGACTAGAAGCTGCAGGATGGAGAATGTTATGTGTGTTTGAGCACCAGCTTGTGTCACAGGCGCCTGATCTTTATTTCTCTACATGCTCATAGTGACTACTTTTCCAGTGCTAACCTAACCCTTTTTTACCGTTTGAGAAGKGGCAGTATAGGAACAAGTTGGACAGCTATGCCCATCACCTAAATTCTTCAAATAATGCTTTGATGGGTTCTTATGAGCTCACAGCTACTTTTCCATAATAGCTATCCACATTCCAAAATACTAAGTSGTGTTTAATGAAGGAGCATCTAAGTTGTATAACATTCTGGCAGTTGTGTTTCTCAAGCTTGCTCCTGGGATTCTCGCATAGCCAGGCCAGCACTGTTCTGCTTTTTGTCTAGTTTCRTTGTGATCCCCCATTACTGGACTAGTTTTCTGTGGGGGAAGACTGGGTTTTGTTCTGTGCTTGTGTGACTCACGGTGAAGGAGTTCTGCAGAGTGCAATCTAACAATCACTTCTCTTTTTGTATTGTGTGGTCGTCCTTAAAGAGCACGTGACTTGGCCCCTGAAGATCACCAAATCATCCACTACTTGTCACTGCAGCTGGCTCTTGTCAGACAGGTATGTGAAATAATTGGAAATCACTGAGTCGTGAGAGGATGGAAGAACAATCCAGTTGARCAAGACCCAGGCTTGCTAAATAGAGTTCCTTCCTTCCTGCATTGTAATCAATACAAGCAACCAGACTATGTTTCTGTAAAATGTTGTTTCCTTCTTATTTTTGAAATAATGATTCTATWGCACATAGAATATCCTTCCCTAGGGAATGTATCCAGCTCTAACTCCTGAGCAGTCTTGGAGCAACCTAGTGTGTGTGGGATGAGCGAGGTGTGTTTGTTCCYGTTCCCTGGGTATCACGCTGTGTCCTGCTGCAGGCCTTTCCCGAGGCTCTCTGGTTACTGCCCGATTCCCTGTGCGCTCCCTGCGCCGCGATTGCTTTATTCCATACTTGGGCACGTTTGACGTTAGGCTTTGATGAGTGCTGGAGCTCTGCAGCGAGTGGGATTAGTTGGCATTTGAATGCTGCTGCAGGTGTTAACTCATAAAAATGAAGCTGAGCAGAAAATGCTCTGCACTGCCTTTCAGAAGAAAAACCAACCACTTGGTCTATGCCTTGTTTTTCTGCCCCTTTTCCTTAAAATTGAGATGTGTTTTATTTCTCTGTCCATTCTTCTTAAAAGCTAAAGTCTTTGTTGGAGCAGCTCCTATTTTTTCAATATGTCTGTAGCTAGATTTGAAATTTCATCATTGTAGTTTCCTTCTTTGGCAGGCCTTCTGCTTTCTGCAGTTCCCTCTCCTTAGTCTACGCTACAGAGTTGAACAGTAGGATCTTTCTTACTTTCCTGAGCTAATTAGGTGAGCTGTGTGTTCATTAGGTTAAACTAATTGTTCCAAGAGAGCACCTTCTTGATAATGTCACTTCTGTAACCCTTTCATAATGAGAGCAGTGTGCTTTGAGCCTACAATAAGAAAGGATAATTAAAATGGCTTATTTAACTTTCTCATCTGCCTACTTGCTGCTTTATGATGCAGTGTGCTCAGGATCTCTCATTTTAAAATTCCCAGCTACCCTTCTTTCTCTCATAGCTTTTGCCTCATAGGGAGATGGTCTGATCTGCTGCTTCTTCTGCTTCTTGCCATGAGTAAAGGCATTACAGCTTTTCAGCTGCTATCCTGAAAAATAAAATCAAATCAAGATTTTTGTGGTCATTGGCTTTTTGTTGTTTTCACTGTTACTGGCATTTTAAGTCATTGCCCTTTCTTTTTCTGTGGCTGTAGCCTGTCTTTGCAGCATTGYTTCATCTGACTTATTTCTTCATTTCCCTTCCCTCCTGTTCTTTCCATTAAGTCTCTTGTCCCCATGTTCACTTTCCTCTTTTGTCTAGTTCACCTGTGTGTTTCCATCCTTGATGTTCTGCCAGTCGCCTCTGCTCCCACAGCAGTATGATCTAAGTGTATTATGTAGTGTCAGCCTGACCCCTGCGATGGTGTTCCTGCTCTTCGCCCATCAAGTGCGATATAAATCTTTAACGCATGCTTGGACAGAGAGGAGATACCTGAGACATCTTTATTTTTAGACTGCTGTAAAATATCCTACTCYTCTTTTGCCGGTTTACTTAATGATAAACATTTGGTAATGCATTTTTAATATCCTTAATTATTTAAAGTATCTAATATATTCTCTTTCTGATTAACCAAAAGATAAATGATACCTTTTTTGATAGATTGCATTAACTATTGAACATCACAGTTAGGGCTTTCATCAGGCAATGCTACAATACCAATAAATCAGGCCTTTTCTACATAGTAGGTTATAATATAATGCCTGAATGTTTTTCTCAACAAATAGGCCTTTTTGTTTCCCTAGTCAGAGTCAATAAATGAGGTAACTGTACCCAGCACTGAAAAATGTAGGTATCAGCTTGCATAGATAAGAGAGCGTTTTCATGGAACAAAGCAAGAGAGACAGMTGACCAGTAGAGTGCCAAGCAAAGCTGGATCAGTTCATCTTCCTTGGAAGGCTGTAAAATAGTTCCAATAGCTCTTCTCTTTGTCACCACAGGGCAAGGGAAAGGGAAAATGGAAAAACATAAGCATCCCTCTGACATGAGATGAGGATGTGACAAGAGGAGGAATGGTTAGAAAAGGTTCATGCAGAGTTGGCAGTTGAAACCTCCAGCAATCAAGATTAAAAAACTATGCTGATGATGTGCTTGATGTGTGTGCCTGTGTCTTAAAGACCGCCGGAGWCACTGGGAAGACTTGGAGTGTCTAGACCAGCCCCACAGTGTTTTAGGGTGGATTTTTCAGCCAAACACCCAGTGCAATAAGCAGTTCTGTCAGGAAGATCTCAGTCTGGTTTTCCCCTGAGCTGAAGAGCCAGGAGGCCAAGGTCAGTATCTGCTGCAGTGGATTATCTCCACCTGCAGTGCCGGGCTGGCAGCCAGCCGAGCCAAGCGACAAATGCGACTTGTAGCTCCCAACTCCCAGTGGCTGGTTCGGCTGCTTCTCCTGTTTCTGTGGTAACAGCATTTGGATCAGCAAAAACAAGGTAGAATGAACATTTTAAAGCTCACTGATTTTAATGCCTTGCCTTGTTTTTTAGCAGGCCAGTTTCTATGGAAATGACTTTAGAGAGTCAACAGCACTCCTGTTAATTTTAAGTGTTGATTCCCTTTTTTTGGGGGGTGGTGGTGGTTTTGACCTTGAATGCCATGTATTGGCATGGCAAAATCAGTATTGGATACATACAAACAATATACGTAGGCTTCATTTCATTTTAATACTTGATTTGGTCTCATCTTTCTTTCTATGAAAATGCGAAGGGGAAGATGGCCAGTGGTCAGCAGCTGAGTGTTGGAAGTGTTATCAGTTTTCTGTGGACTTCCAATCTTAAGTTTCAAGTGGCACTATCCAGAAAACACCTACTTCCTTCCAGAGTGTCTGGATGTACAGCTAAGAAACATCAATTAAGACATCAGATAAAATACTTCACCTGTCTGCCCCAGTTTTTATTTTAGTTTCAACAAGGAGAGATGGCTATCTCTGCCCCAGGGAGATATTGAGGTGCTTCCTGCAATGACTGCTTGGATGTAGGTAGTTGTGGTGTGTCTTTTTTGATGAGCTACTGCCTTCTCTGCTGAACAGCAACATGCTGCTTTTCTGCCTATGTCCTAGCCTAGATTGTTCTGGTGATAGAGAATGGTTTGTGGTAAGAACTAAGTAATAACCCCTGTTAYTAGATATTAGATAAACCAGTATCTACCCCTGGTTTCCTCAGGTTCTGGTGGATTGTWGCAATCTTTGCATTGGAAGTTCTTGCCAGTCAATAAGGCTTTCTCCTTTTCATGCTATAAAAAGGGATGGAGTGGGTATTTTTAATGGTTAATTAAATGTAACTGTCAATTGACATGAAAATATAAAGCCTGAAAATTCCTCTTAAGAGTTCCTGTTTAATTTACCATTTTAAATATACATGTGCATTCCACTGTTGGGAAGTATTTTTAACACTCATTATGTTTTCCTTTTTATACCTATAATTGTGACATACCAGCATTGTTTTTAAGTAGACATATAGCATTACTGAAATAAATCTTATATAAAAGAGGCAGCCTAAACAATCCATATTGTGGCATTATTTTGGTAATGCTGCAGGATGCTATTTCTGGCCTGCTCCAGCATCTTTGCTTCCTAATCAGTGTGATGTGAAGATACCTGTGTGACATACAAAACATGTGGTATATTTGTTAACGGAAAGATAAATCAGGGAAGTGTAACTTCTTTTAACTGCAGACCTCACTTGGACTTGCAGTCCAGCTGAAATAAGATTATATTAAGGTGCAGTACTTGTAGGGAATTTTAAAGTGGCAGCCTGCCTCTGATAAAGCCCTGAAGTTTCAGGGTGCCATCTGGGGTGCCAGTTTCCATCTTTCTCGAATGATATAGTTACTTAAATAAAAATACATTTTTCAAAAGAAGTTTCCATCGACTGCTGCCAAATATCTTGCTTTTGTTGATCTAGAAATTTAGTTTGTATTTCATAGCATCTGGTGTGTTGCAGGTTGTTGTTTCACATAATGCTTTCTATAAAGGCATAGAGTTCATGTTATTTTTGTCCACTGCTTCTAATTCTGTAGCAGTRCTGTGCAGGCTACTAATAGTGCTACAGAACTAAGGAATCTTTTTGGATTTGAGTTAATCAATTAAGTGCCAAGGAAGCATGATTAATTTTCAAAATCAGCCATTGCCTGCATCTCTGATGGTACTAGAGAGGAGCACTGAAATGAGATGTAACTATTGCAGGCCCTGTGCTGCAGAACAGAAYTAATTTAGTTGACATCTATTTCAGCAGTATATGGCTGCCTGTCCAGCAAACACAGGGTTACAGAACTCACTTTTTTGCTGCTTAATTTCGTGTATGTTGCAACASAGTCAGAGAGCTTCTTGGATGGCAGGCCTCTGTTATGGGTATGAACCTGSAGCTTGATCCTCAGTCACCTGCAACACATAAAGCTAGGTCTCCATTTGCATGTTCACATGCGAGTAAGGTCAAGTACCTCTGCAATTTTGAAGTCCCTCAGTGAAGGCACTAGTTGCAAGTATTGCTCTTTGTCTGATTCATATTAGCCAATTAGGATCACCTACCCAAGTCTTAATCATAGAAGAGTTTGAAGAGAACCTTTAGAGATCATCCAGTTCAGTCCATGCTCAAAGCAGGATCAGCTGGAACAACTTGCTCCAAGTCTTCTCCGTCTGTTTGGTTTGCAGGGTTTCTTTTTCTTCCAATGAACTTTTCCCCAAACTTGTTTTTTTTTTTTTTTACAAATACTTGTATAGGTCTGAGACAGAGAAATAGCAAAAATAGAAGGGGTTTTTAATCCTGAGTGCAAGAACCTTGACAGCAGCTTTGTTTTAGCAAATTGAATTTATATACCTCTGGTACATCTACTGATGAAGTTTGTGGACAGGCAGATCTGGGCCCACCACTGTCTCATCCTGGCTCCAAGCTGTCTTGTTATCGCTGGCGTTTTTACATTGTATGAAAACGTGTTCTAGTAAGCTGCTGAGGGAACATGGGTGATTTAAGCCAACGTGTTTACCTTTGCAGTAGGCTGTAATAACACATGTGGTTAAAGTAGCTCCACTGACAAGCAGTAATTCATTAAAGCTGAGCACTCAGTCATATATCCCAACCTGAATCCAAGCCAGGACATTCAGCAGTTTTGATGCTGTGGGCCAGATGCCAGTTTGGGGTTATGTCTGGAGCAGTCACACTGATCTCCAGGCTTGCATGGAGTCACCAGTAATAGAGTAGTTAAGTACCAYGGCTTGTGTGTGCATGGCATGAGAGAAATGTCACTTGGACATTTGGATGAAACTGTCCCATGAACAGAATATACACCATGCTCCCAGAAGCATACCTGGGATMTAGATAATGAATGACCTCTGTTGTAGCTGCAGGCAGTGTAATTGTTGCTTTCCTTAGTTATGTGCTRCTTGTTTTTGTGAGAGATCTATGCCGGTGGTGGGAATTTGATACTGGTGGTATGCCAGGGTAGAAGAATGTCAGCAAAGCTTTGCTAGGTGGGAAGTTCTCATAGTAGGAAAGAAGAAACTGCATTCTCTGTCCATTAAGAGAAGGAGCAGGAAAGCATACATGAGGAAAATAAATTTATACAATTTTATGTTTGGTTTCTGCAGATTTCCAGAGCCACAGATCTGAAAAAATTTATGTAACAGTAATTTCAGACACTAGAGAATCTTAAAGAAAATCCTCTGCATAAAACTTACTGGTAAACAAATGAAAGAAAATCTGCTAAGAAGTTCCCTTTTGAACTGATAGCCTAAAATAGTGTACTGGATCACAAAGAGCATGTGATATACTTGCATTCATTATAGATGTTAAGTTTTCTGCCAAGTGAGACTTGGTTCTAATAACATGCTGCTGCTGTGACTGTCAGTACTATTCTCTACATCACTTCTTGCAAAGATACTTCTTTTTCTGACAGCATTTTAAATCTTAACTCTTTTACCCTTGAACATTCAAACTTAATTTTTATGTTCTTGATCCAAATCATGAAAGGCTTTGTACAGCCATTTTGAGAGACAAAATGCAGCAGAGATGTGTAATGTTCTCCCCAGGCTAGGAGCACCAGCCACCCATCCTAGAAAATGGAGCTGAGAAACTGGGCCTCTGTGGTRGATCTGTTTGGCATAGAATCATCATGCCAAAATAAAAGAGGGTTGATTGGATCAGGTCTGCTGCTCTTGTTTATAAGCAGTGAKTTAGTAATGCTGCAGACTTCTCTCTCTAGAATGTGTGGGTTTTTTTCAAGCAGTGCAGTCTGTTAATCTTGGCAAAATGTTCCGATAGTAGAAGGTGCCTGAGTAGAATTTCTTCAGAATTTCTGTGACTGGATTTGTTCTTCTTTTGGAGGTATAATATAGAACTAAAGCGTAATGTGTTCTCTTGTTATTTCTGCCCCATATCCTTCTAGATTTCAGATGCTATAGACCATCTTCAAGAAGCCCTGCAACTGTGCAAAGATGACATGAATTCACTTCATCTACTGGCCCTCCTCTTTTCAGCTCAGAAGCACTATCAGCATGCACTGGATGTTATCAACATGGCTGTTGTCGAATACCCAGAAAGCTTTAGGTAAGAGTGATTGCCTGATACATCCAGTCAGGAATGATCTGCTCACTGGTTCTGTTGTTCTTGTATTCTCCTAACACAAGGAGCCTGTTAAATCTGGTGTGCTTCAAGTGTGCCACTCTCCTGGAAAGAATATTCTTTTACTTTCTGTCTTCATGGTCTTCCTATAATCCTTACACTTRTTTGCTTTTCCAGTATTTGTCTTTCTGTATAATGCTAATGTCATTGTTCCTGTACATCTTGTAGTTTTTTGTATTTCACCTTGGATGTGGAGAAATGAGCATGAGACAGCTATGACAATATCTGTATCACAAATAATTTTATATTTGGTAACTTCCTGGTTAAAACCAAACAAACTTTTCTTGCAATGACCATTGTTTTGATGCTCATCTATGACACAATTTGCTGCAATATCACAGCTGGGGAAAAAGATTAGTTGAAAATCACAAGCTGTGATAATGTATAGCTGAGAGGGAGGATGGTTTGCTTCCTTAGGGGTAGGTTTGAATCAGCACAGACTTCTTGGAGCCAAAGGCTTCCACTGTTCTGTGTTTGACTCAGACCTTCATCCATCTGAGGGAGGTAAATTGAATTCCATGCAATTTGCTGTCATGACCTTTCAAAACAATGAATTTGTCTGTTCTGTGCAAAAATTAAAGCGACTGTAATATTCTCTGGTGATTTCATACTAGCTAAGTTTCTCAGCCAAGCTGCAGAAAATCCTGTTGCACTGCTGGAAGACCAACTTCCATTTGGAATTGCCTGTACTTAAATGGTGTTCTGAACCTGTACATCATTGTCTTTAGATAGCCTGCATTCTCTGTAGTGAGAGGGAACAGCCTCCACAGGTTTAGTCCAGCAGCTGAGTGAAAYATTGTCTAAACAGAGCGAAGGAAGGTCACAAGTAAGATCCAGGCTGTCTAAATGTGCACTTGAATGCTTTAGGATCTTTTAGAATTATGGTGTTATATTGGCATATRATGCTTTTTATTGTAAGCTGCATCTTGTCTCTTAAAATAGCTTTGCTGCCTATGTTTTTGAGGTTAGCTACTTGGTGTATGTGAGGAGCTAAGACTGTCAATGMACATATTTGAGTATAAAGTGGAAATTAGTAATGGAAATGCCCTTAAAATGATGCCAATATCTCTTCAGGGTGTGAACATAGGTRTGACTGAAGCAGGAAATAGCCCGCTGGCTGTTAAATTGTATTTTAGGATTTTGAAATAATAAACATAGTAAAAAAATCCTCCTAGAGTCAAAAGTCACATTGTACAGTCGAAGATCAGATGTTTGTTGAGGAGTACAAACACCTAAAGACACGTAAGAGACTGTTGACAGAGGAAGAAGTTGTTTATATCAGGAGAAGAGTGTTTGCCTTGTCCTGTTGACCAAYTGGTGCATCATGTCCTGGATCTTTTCCCCAGCAGTTACCGATTATTTATCTTACAGGGGCGGACAGAACATAGAAAACATCATATGCAAAGTAGTTTGGAGGACTGTTGGGTGGGTTCCTTTGTGTGTCTGGTATTCTGATTTCTGCAAATCTGAAAAGAACATTATCTCTTATGTTGCTATGAATACAAACTTTGATGTGCACAAAGACCTTGCCAAGCAGTAGCAGAGTAGTTTGTTTTTGATAGAAACARCTTGTATTGTTAGTGATGGCCCAGGCTCATTCTTGCTTCTAGACACAGCCTTGCTAAAGTGTGTGTCTGGGAAGGGCCTCWCTTTGCTCCTTGAATACACAGGGGTGTGTAACATGGCTGACAGTGGGGCTCATTCATGGTACACATGGATGGAGGAGCAGGGGCTGGCTTCTTGCCTCTGCTGTGTGACCACCCTGTCTTCATGTGGGTCTTTCTCGAAATCAGCCAGCAAATAACTTATGAGTGAGGAAACTGAGAAAGAATGTCAGAGTTGCAAGGCAAGAAAAAAAAAAAAGCTTAAAAAAGTGTTTCTGAAAAAAGGAATGGGAACCCAGTAAAGAGGGGAAAGGCAAGAAGAGTAACCGTACATCTATAGTTTGTACCAAATTTGAAACCATTCCAGGCTTTCTAGTGCATTTATGCTACAAGGGCTTTACTGCTTTGTAAAGCCTCTTTGGAGGGACAAAGACCTGATGCTATTATGTATCTCCACTTGCTATTGCCTTATAGAAAAATGCTAATAAATTTTATTAGTGCATAGAATGACTAGGAGATGTTTCATGTAAATAGTGTAGGCAAGTTCAACTGCCTCATTTTAAAGCTGTGTTTAAAAGTAGTTGATTATTTTTCCCAATTCGCATTTATATGAGCCAGGCAACTGTGTAATGTTGTGCCTGGGGGCTTCCTTCCTAATGACTTCTCTTTTTGGAAGCACAGTTTGATGGCATATATCAAGAAAAGATGATGAAAGCTGCGTTAAGGGACCTTAGGGCTCTGTAGATGGCAGGAGAAAAGCCCAGAAGTATTACCTTGATGTAGATCCTAAATAAAAGAAAGCATAATATATAAAAAATAAAGGACTTAGCTGACCCAAACTACAGCCATCTCATACTGTTTCATTGGTCTCTGTATGTCATTAAGATGAGTTAGTTCCTGCTTTTTTGTTTTTATATTGAATTCTTTCATTACACATTTTAAAGAAGAAATTTTTCAGGATAGTTCATGTAGTTGGGTGTTGGCTGAAGCGGTTGGAAAAAATATACTGCATTGCTCAACTAACACACAACATCCTTTGACATGAACCTCATAATACTGACCCAAATATGTCTGAAAGTGYCCCTTGTTCATGTATTTAAACATTTACTGCACATTTCAGAGGYTGATGGGGTGCATAGGGAGGGGGGATTTGATATGTAGGCACTGAATACAGCAAGAGGTGCAGTGGTTTGGACTGAGCTATTGAAGAKCTGGATATCCAAAAGACACAAAATGGACTTGGGAATGTGACTTCTGGAAAGGTGGCATATAGTAACAAATCCATTACATTGCAGTCATTGAATGACTGACTGAATTTGAATACTTGAATGTACTGTCAAGCAATGACAGWGGAAGAATTCATAAAGGAAGAATGAGAGCTGGCTATGCTGAACATACTGCAAGCTGGAGTGAGCCAGAAGAAATAACACTGTCTTGCCATGACTATAAAAGATAGAAATAGCAACCTTTACATGGAAGGTATCATCTTAAAAATTGCTGACCTTTGGGGTGAGACTGCCCTTGATAAAACTYAGTGATTTTACATCCTGTCAATGATAGGATGCTTTTAAAAGCTAATGAATGCAGTACCAAGAGTTGGCTTTGGTATATCTTTTTGAAAGCACTGTCTTCTGCACATTTGGGTAAGAAGACCCCTGTTAGCATTAGGTGTCTCCCCTCCAGGTCAGTAATGCTAATCGTAAGTTTTTCTGAAAAAGGATTCCTCTAATTTTTTTCCAGCTGGAAGGCCAGCCTTTTGATTGGTGTTCTGTCTGAGTCTGGCAGTGGTTACTGACACAGGCTTGTGTCTCAGGGAAGAAATAATGTTCGTGAACACCCCTTGTTCCTTACAGGTGATCCTCTTTAATTAATGTATTGTTTATTTATAAAGTATTTCCCTTTTTAAAGTCTGTGTCCACACTTTACAACTTTTCATGAAGTCCCATGGGTCTGGCAGCCTGCAGAACCCACCATAGAGCCTAACATGATCCTTTATTTTCAGCTAATAATATTTCCTCCTTTCAGTTTTGCTTGTGTAAAAGTGTCTTTGCCTTACTGACTCACCCACTCCTACAGAGACTGTTTTGCTCTCTGGTCATCTTTTAGCTCTAATTAGTTAGCTTCCGGCATTGGAAAAGAAATTAATGTCTGTACCGAGTATGAAGTTGGAAATAGCATATCAATTTTATGGATACTCTGTTGCTCCCAGACTGCTTATCAAAACCTTTTCTGTTGTTCACCAGGTAGTTTCCTGTCTCCTGGATGGCTCCCCATTAAGTTAGAACAATATAATCCCCTGGCATAATAYGTCATTGCTGCCCAATGTGGTGGTGAATATTTTGTTAAATGATCATGTCTTTGTAGCAGTTCTGCCTGTTGAACTGGATTTGTAATGCTCTCAAATGAACAGATGCTAATATTCCTTCTAAACTATAAGTCACTATTCTGTTGCTCTGTGAGTCTCTAAACTAGTTAAAAAGAGAAATAACAGAACTTTTGGGAAGTACTGCTGTTCTATACATAAAGACTCGAAAAGAAACAGGTGGGTTGGTGTTTTGGAGCAATGTAGCTGCCAAATGCAGGTGCTTTTGTTCTACAAAGATATTCGCTATCACAAAAGTAATTATTGTAAATGTAGTGGAACAAAAGCTCAGGAGGCCAAGAAATATTAAATGTGTATCTTGGAGAGTGTTTATAAAAAAGGAAGTAAATTTCTCTTGGGTAATTGTGTGTGTTGTCGTGGTGTTGGTGTTGTTTTAGCAGAAATGAGGTTTTTTGCTACAGCYGTCCCTCAAAATATAAAGTCCTTTTCTAGATTAGAAGTGGTTTACTGAGAGAAAAAGTCCTTGACTTCATCACTGCTACATGAATTTCATTAAGGACATGTGAAGTAATTGTCTGGCAAGATTTATTTGTCATAGTCTGGTGCAGACTTGCTGTGGTGAGATCTTTTCTGTGGAATAAAAGCAATGTCATTTACYAGGTGCTTCCACTTGCCTCAAAAAAACCCCAAAACCCTGATGTAAAATCTGGATCTCAAAATGGCATTTCCATTTTGAATTCTTTCCATTGCTTGTCAAGCTCTTTCTTGTGTGTTTAAAATAAACAACTGGTGCTTCCTTTGAGCCGTGTCTTTATGGGGACCCGTGGGGCATGCAGTATTGTTGACAGTAAAGTAGATTTGTGTTCTTGCCTGTAATTGTCATGGGGAATATGGAGTCAGTTGCCTCTCTGTTGATGGTTTGCCCATCTTTGTGTTATGGCTGATCTACACTACGCCTGTTCTGTGGAGAGAGTTGTGCCTCCAACCCCTCCACCTCA